CCACCCGCACTGTGGCCCTGGGATCGACTCAGCCTCTAACAGAAAGAGTACCAGGAATTTTTCACAGGTGTAAAGGGCGGCCGGCGCGAAAGGCTGACAACCTTACCGCCATAGAGAATGTGGGAGCCTCGACGTCTCACAACCCTATGGGCCTCCATGGCCTGTTACAGGGACAGTTTTACCTTTACTTCAGATTTCCCACTTACGGACGTAATTTCTAATGGGCAGCTCCGCCATGACCCGCATTTCCGAATGAAACCTGCTCCCATGAAAATAAAGTGCTCCGGAAACACGATTTATACTTCAAAGTGCATCGTATTCTTTACGTGATGGATAGCGATGTCTCAGTACAGAGTTAAGGATACGCATCGTCATATTTACCTGCAACAGTCATGAACACGAATACTCCTGCAAGCCGTTTTGCGTTCTCAAGCTTGCAAGTCCAGACCAGCCTTCTCTTATCCTAATGCGAAAATGACTGAGTGACACTGATAGGAGATTCGGGAAGCAATTAACTCTCTACCTTCTAATACTACTGTTTGAAGGATTTGTGCGATGGTGATGATTGCTGTATTGGAAATTTTCTGCAATGCAATCCCCCCCACGCGGATGCTGTCATCATCAGCTAGGTATTTTTTCTTATTTGTTTCACTGTACTGATTTTTTTACTTAATGTTTCTAAGAGGAGCAGTTGTGTTGTGTTTGAGGTTTATATTCTGTAGGAGCTGGGGTAGCGTAGTCGGTATAGCGACTGACTAAGGGCTGGTCGAATGAAGGGTCGGAATTCGAATCCCTGTAGTATCAAGAATTTTCTCTTCTCCACGTCGTCCCGGCCGTCTTTGGGTTCCTCCCAGCGTCCTATCAAATGGGTATGGGGGGATCTTTTCCCGGGTAAAGCGGCCTGGTTGAGAAGCTGACCACTAACCTCCAGCTAGTGCCGAGGTTGAGAAAATGTGGATCTATACATCCACTCCCCCATACGACTTCGTATCATAGTGCTTAATTAGATAATCACAGGGACGACTTTACGCCACGGTATTGTGTACCTTCCGTGGATCTTGGGTGGTTACTAAGGGCGCCATGATGATCAAACCCTATGAATCAACATATGTTGTGTTACAGTCTGAAATATTTCACTGAGCAGGCTGACATAAGCAGATCTCGAATGCTTGTGTTCCCAACTTTGCTGTGGATTTTGGTGTCTGAATTTCTGAATTCTCTGCAGAGTTACCTTTCATGATCGTGTCATCTGATTGGATGATAAACCCGTACTACTATTAGGATTTCAACACATCAGTTATCGAACATTAAGCTGTAATGGCCTAGTTAATTAAACTTTCATCAGGCATCCAGCAATTCGTTCGCCTATTACGACTACAGCTCTTTCATGGTATTTTCCTGTAGGAGCGAATATTTTTGTCATATTTTTTTTCTAGAGTAATGTTTGTTTATTCTAACCTAACTGTAGTTATAAACTACGTCAAGCTCAATTCAATTTCGCGGATGGCTGGACGGCTGGTATTCAATGGCAGACCTCACGAAGTTGGTCTGCGCAGTTCGATAATTACGAGGGGACCAGTGTATGAGCCCAGAGTACTCATCGAGATGTCTGTGGCATAAAATTCTGCCCTTCCTTCTCCCTACACGTTTTCTCTTCCCGTTTTTCCTTTCACATTCGTCCCCACCCTCAGACGATTCAGAACTTTATGATGCCTCGAGAGAGAGACACCGAAGGCTGATTATATTTGTTTTTCTGGGACATTTCCGTTCCAATAGAGATTTGCTCAGAAACTGAGTTGGCGAGAGTACATCGATATTGTGTCCGGTGTTCAACTATCCGAACATTGCATTAACACATCGGTAGAATTGTCACATTATGTATATATAGGTATATGTAATATTTATGTATACACATGCAACGAGCAGAGTCGTTTTTCTGAAAGTGGATTAAATGTTTTGAGAGGCGTTGATTGCGCATATTTCTCTCGTAACACCAATGAAAGAGAAGACGCATCAGGAGAAAGGATTTGCTTTTCCACAGCGTCCAAACCGGCCCTGGTGCCCACTCAGCCTCCCATTCAATGCATACCAGGGCCAGTTTCTGTGGGGGTCAAGCAGCTGGGGCGTGAAGCTGACCACTCAACTCCGTCTAGTGCTAAGGTCAGAAATAGTGAAGCTATACTCCTCACACACCTTCACGATATGGTGCTTATTAATTAAGCCCAAGGACAACTTTACCTTTTACTATTATTAGGAGAAATGGTCGGTTCCACCAAAGCCTCCTCCTCCTCTTTTTTTTTAATCCCTGAAGCTTACTGGGAGCCCTAGAGTAAATAGGACAATCACCAGCCCTTCTCACTCTTACCTGGTCAGTTTACTCTTCAGTTGTCTTTTTGAATCTTGGATGTTTATGCAAGCCTTAAAAAGCAGAAAAATTATGAACTTGAACTAGAACTAAAATAAAATACACTATCCCACACAAGTTGCAGAAGAACAGTTTACTAGACACCAATCAGTTACATAGTCACATGTCGAAATGTAATAGTCATATTGTTAAGAAGGCTGGCCATCAAACTAATTGTCTAGGACTGATGAAATTTATTAAATAACCTTCCCGTGCATGGGATAGTTGTTATGGTGTTGGTATGTCTACTGCAACAAATTTCACCATCCAGCATCCTATCTAATGGGTCTAGATTACGTGGATTTATACATCCACTCCCCTGCACACCTTCATGGCATAGTGCTTATGTAGTATATTACACACTCTTCTTGTCAGTTGTAACAGGAGAAAGTTATATGAAATTCCTTTTATCTTTCCTATGTTCTATAGGGTAAACTTCCTGTCCCCTTTCCATGCTTGTGTGGTGTGTGGCAAAGCGTAATTGCGTTGTAAGACCATGGAGTAAAACAGTACTTAACTTACTGGATTTTTGCCAGGAAACACTGCCTGTACATCCAATCAAGGAAGCGCTGGAAAGAGATAGACTCTTGGCCCACATTACAGACTTTTGAAACTTGAATAAATGGCTGAGATCCAGAATGAGGTAACTAATGATAGAACTGAAAAAAAAATAGTATTTTTTTTTAGTGTTGTTCATAGGAGGAGCAAAGGGCCCGGCGGAAGTATGAGCTGCTGACTTGCCATTCATATTCAGATAGACATTCTTCTATACTGCCGCTCTGCATTTTCTATCATACAATGTGTTCACTAATTTGTGTATTAGTGAACGTACAATGGGATTCCAGAATTTTTTAAAATGTATAGGATCTCAGTGTTATAAACATTTGTATGGGTTTTAATTTTTTCCTGGGTGACTACTTTACAGTACCTCATTCTAATTTGAATGCTGGTTGCATCTAAACCCTTCTCCAAATTTCCAAATTGCTGCATTTCATTTGGTTATTTCGTGATCAGGCAGTTAAAGATTTCTGTAAAATCTGCAAGTACTTTGCTGTCGAGGAAGCCAGTCAGTGTACTATTTTACAAGAAACCGACCTTGCATTTCTTAATTGTTCTCTTTAAACACGTTGTGCTATTTGTGACTGTTTTCTTGTTCAGCAAGGAACAGAAGAATGTACAAATGTTTTATGGTGGCCACTGAATTTTGCCTGATCTAAAATTAATCTAGTGCATACCGAAGGGGTTCTTAGTCAGTTTGTTGACATTAGAAGTTGCTTGCCATAGCAGCAAGAAACCTGCGATGTTGCATTGATAAATATCATGTTAGTGTTTGATCTTCCACAGAAGTTGGATGGCTATGCTGTAAATGTATATATTCAATTCAATTCAATTTTATTTCGTCCATGAATCATTATACATGATATGGGACAAGTCAAAGATTAATATTAATACTAATACTAAATAAAAATTACAGAAATAGTATGCCAAATTATAATAAATGATAATAATAATAATAATATAGTAATACAGAGATAATAATATGACAGTATAATTAGTCTTGAAAACAGTTTCTGTGGTCTTAAATCCTCCATATGTCCTATTGTACCTTTACTGGTGGTAATGCCTATGGAGATTTGATGGAATGAGGATTGGCAGGGGAAACCGAAGTACTCGGGGAAAACCTGCCCCAGCGCCACTTTGTCCATCACAAATCCCACATGACTAGATCGCAGCGGTGGGAAGCCAGCGACTAACCGCTTAAGCTGTGGCGCGGCCATTCAATTCAATATGACAATATAATAATAAATGACTATAATAATTTAGCAATCTTGAAGTGGTCTGTGGTCAGTTTCTGTGGTCTTGAATCTTCTTTAAGATGGCACTCGGCAGATAATTCCCAGAAGCAGTCACGAAGTGTTATTTCCTGGAGAGAGAATTGAACTGAGCAGTAAGTGTTCTCATGACTTATATTGTCCAACACTATGAGGCTAATTTATTCTTGGTATATATAATTTAGACTGACTAAAACTCTTTTCTAACAAATAAAATACTCACCTACACTGTAAAAATAATAAATGAACTGAGCGGTAAGCGTTCTTATGACTTGTATTATTCAATACTATGAGGCTAACTGATTCTTTGAATCTTGGAATATATAATTTAGTCTAACTAGAACTCTTTTCTAAAGAAGTAAGACATTCGTCTACACTGTAAAAGCAATGATCAAACAGGAAATTTTTCAAAGCTTTCTTGAATCTGTATAGAGCTGGTATCTCCTTAATGTAATATGGTAAATGGTTGTACATACGAAGTTCAGTATTAATAAAATTGTCTTTGCATCTCTGCTGATTTTGGTTCTTCATTTTTGCTTTTGCCATTTTCTGTGTGGTGCAAACAGGCATGATGAAGTGATATAATATCATGAACACTGAACACCCAATATATGTGGTGAATAGCTTTGTCTTATTTGTGTCTATAGACAGTTCGGCTTCTAATATAGAGGCATGCAGCTGGAAATAAGAGTAATGTGCATCATCTACAGTTCTACCCCAAAACTGATTTAATTAGGCCATAATTGTTGTTTGTTTGTTGCCAGAACTTGTACTGGGGACACCAGAACTCAAGATTCTGCCCTCACAGCCGACTTTGAACCGGGCCATCCATCACAGCATGCTGCTATCTTGCCGGGTTGATGTTGAGAACAAGGACCTTGTGACCAATCTGCAATGGCACGACCCCACTGGCAGAGTAATTGGGGATAACAGTGATAGGTATATGTGCATTACCAAACTTCAGACCGTCAGAAATTAAGCTTTTATAATGTAATATGGTTTGAATGCAGTCTTTTGTAAAGGAAAGATGTGAACTTTAATTTCTGTAAAAGATACTTCTGAATTGCCAGAAGATATTTCTAAATTTTGCAGGAAGTTGTATCAACATCAAAACTTGTGCAGTGCGGGAAACTAATAATATGGTGTTGATGAAATTCCAGAATTGGTCTTGATGCAGATCCTGCTCAGACTGACATAATTTATAGGTGTCAAAATGATATATGTATGGTACTAGCAAGGAAAGATTATCACGCTGGTCACTGTAGGTTTCTCTCAGCTTTTAAACACAAATGTTCCTTATTTGGGGGGGGAGCAAAAAAAAAAACATAATTGGAGTATGTGGCTATGTGATGGGTAGAAGGTTGGCCTCTCATATTAAGGAAATAACATAGCTTGAGGATGTGAGAACGGGGTCTTAAAGAGATAAAGAGAATATATGAAACTAAGAAGAAAGAAGTAACCGGAGATTGGAGAAAATTTTGTAAAGAGGATCTTTCTGATATTCTACACTAACATCCTTAATCTGTAAGGAGCCAGCTCCATGTCAGAGATGAATCTGCAATCTCAAAAATGTGACAGATGAGTATGGGGGAATGGTAAAATGATGACTAGAAGGGGAAAACCTACTTCAATGCTAACTTGTTTGCTGTAAATCACACGTGTAGCTACCCAATGTTGGACCCAGTAGCCTGCAGCGAGAAACAAGCGTCTAACCACTTAAGCTATGACATGGTTCCGGTGTTTTGTGTATAAGGTCATGAACTAAAGGAGTGTGCGTGCGAAGAGTAAGAAATTCATATAAAACTGTGTCAGGGAAGAGGCTAGAGTATCAGTTTTATGTTTTTCATAACGTTTTCTTTGATATATATGTGTAGTAATTTATGGTGCTGAATAACATAAGAATTGTCAGAAATATGAATAGTAATACTGAATGAACCCAGAAGATGTTGAGGGCACAGTTGAGAGATCTAGATGTAGATGGGAGGATAATATTAAAATGGTTATTAAAAATACAGTAATGAGTATACGAATGAGTTCATCTGGCTCAAAATAGGGCCGCTAGGGATTCTAATGAACACATTAATAAACCTTCAGGCTTCTTAAAAGAAATTGAATTTTTGACCACCTGAACGTGTAGTAACTTCTCAAGATATATTCTGCCTCATGTACTTAGTCGGTGGACCAGGATTGTAGAAATAAGATCTGCCTCTCTACTGTGGAAATTGGTGTATAGGTTCTGTTGCAGTAGTTTTGGCATTTGATATTAAATAAAACATAATTTTTAATTGAAAGTGTCAAATTATGGCCAGTGTGTGTACCCTATACAACATACACATACACCTTGCAGAGGAATGTATGGGCATATTCATGTTGTGTTAGGAAACACTACTGTTTAGTTGCTTGACCATCAGATGACATTGATTTATTCCCTCATTAATGTTTAATTTGGATCTGATTATGATCAAGATAACCAGGGTTCATTTCCCAGTAGAGGAAAGGATTATTCTGTTCACCACCATATTCTGACCAGCTCTTGGGCCCACCCAGTTGAAGATGCAGTATTTCTTTATTTTTATTTGAAATGTACTTATGTAGGAGATGATATGGTTATTTGGAGTTTTCCTTTCAGGTATAGTGTAGAAGCAGGAATGCACACAGAGCGTATGCCAGATGGTTTGGCCCTCATCATCCCCATGCTGCAAGAGAGGCATGCAGGGAACTACACTTGCACTGCAAAGTATGCAAACACAGAAGAGTTGTCCAAGAGTGTGCTTATCAAAACATTTGGTGAGTTCATGGGAGCAAGACTGTACCTTAGGTTTACCCTACTTCTCTCTGTGAATCAGCTTCTCAAAATACACAGCTGACAGAACATTTATGTTGCTTGTGTGGAATTTCTTACTCAAAAGCTGGCTTATTTTTTCTGTTACGTTTATGACATTTCAACTTAACAGTAAATACAATATTTCAGATATTTAATGTTACTTGGACCAAAACAATATAGTCTGAAATGTAATTCTCTTGTGCAACAGTTGCCATAACATGGGAAGATGCCCCAGAAGAGCAATACCCAATCGTCAGCTCGAATTACAAGATAAAGTGTAAAGTGACAGCAAATCCAGCTCCTATTGTAGATTGGCTGCAGAATGGTGAGCCAATACAGATTGGTGGGCGCTATATTGTTGAAACAGATGGTTTGCTTATAGTTAAAGCAACAGAAGCAGATGATGGCACATACACATGTCGTGCAATAGTGATTGACACTGGTGAACTCTCAGAGAGAAATATTCGTGTCGTGGTAAGTGTAACTCACTTTGAGAGCGTTTCTTAAATCATTATTCTCAGCTGTTAAGTCATGAATGTTATTTATAAAGTGGGGGCACACGGTAGTGTAGTTGTTTGAGGCACTATGCTACAAGCCTAAAGGTCGCGGGATCAAATCCTGATGAGGTGGATTTTTTTCAGTTGACCTAATCCTTCCAGCTGCACTATGGCCCTGGGGTCGACTCAGCCTCTAACAGAAATGAGTACCAGGAATATTCCTGGGGATCAAATGCAGCTGGCGCTTATGGCTGACAACCTTACCGCCATCTACGAGCCGATTGTGTAGAGAAAATGTGGGAGCAGCCCTGTGGGCCTCCACGGACTGTTAAGGGGATACCTTTATTTTACTTTTACTTTATCCATAAACTTAAATGAAATGAATGGAAGAACTTTGGGGGCCCTTATAGGAGTTTTGCCACATTTTTTTGCGTATTTATGATATCTAAGCATCGTGTGATGGTCTCTTAAGTGCTTTCTTTATATATCCGCAGGTTTGTTTTCTGCATATGGCGAGTTTTTATTACTTATGTATGTTGCATTGTATGCAAGGGGATCCCTGTCTTTATGTTGTAGTATTCACATTGCGGTTCTGTCTAAGCTCGACCTCTGCCTTATCACCCAACAACGACCATAACAAAATCTGATGTATCTGCCTCTAATGTTATGCTAATTTAAAATTAAAACATAATTTAGAAAATTAATTTTAAGGTTAAAATTATATTATTGTTAATCCAAATCAATTTTTAAACTTATTTTTAAAGAAACTGTGCATTTGGAGATCATATATTAAAAGTGGCATATTCATAAAACAAGTTGTAAAATTTTGTTATAATATGGATTCATATTAAGAAACAATTCAGTGACTAAGACCATATTTGTATAGATTCTCCTGATGATGACCCTGTGGGGGTCAAAACATTTAGCAATGTCTTTACGAAATAAATGAATGATCATACATTAGTATCGATTTGTTCATTGATATAATTTTTGTGTAGACAGTCCCATAAAACGCTATTATATGATACACAGCAGATTGCATCCCATAAATATTTCTATTTTTTTTTTCCTAAAACTCACATTTGAAAACTATAAGCTTCTTAAATTCGATGGCTTCTAGAGGTAATACAGTATTTATTATTTATTAATTTCTTTAAAGAAATAACTAAAATAAATATTAATATTAGAGAATTGGTGGAGATGTGTTCTTCACCAAGTATAATTAGATTGATCAAGTCAAGGAGGATGAGATTGGTCTGGCGTGTAGCACGAATGGGGTCGAAGGGGAATGAATATAGGATATTGGTGAGAAAGCCAGAAGGAAAGAGACCACTAGGCAGACAAATATTTTTAGTGGGTGGAGAATATTGAAATGTATATTAGAGTGGGATGATATGGACTGGATCAATCTGGCTCAGGATAGAGACCAGTGGGGAGGGCTCTTGTGAACATGGTAATAAACCTTTGTGTTTCATGAAATTCTGGGAAGTTCTTGAGAAGTTGCATAATTGGCGGCCTCTCAAGAAGGGCTCAGTTGCACGAGTGAGTGATGAGTGAGATCCAATTGCAAGCGTTTTTGTAGGCATTTGTGAATTCCAGATTCTGTAAAAGTAGAAAATTCTTTGTCAGATCACTAACTGCTGGCTGTTCTCAGATGAAGATTCTAGACCCACTCTTGGAATACACACTTGTATAGAGTAGCTCCACTTTCTGAATTTTCATAATGAGAAGTACTTGCACAAATTAATTTTTTATGAACTGCTCATAAGTATGAATAGTTTTGGTAGTGTGGAAACTACCTTTCTGTTGCCATAGCCACTTTTGCCTAACCATTTCATTCCTGACATTATTATTATTATTATTATTATTATTATTATTATTATTAGTAGTAGTAGTAGTAGTAGTAGTAGTAGTAGTAGTGGTAGTAGTATTATTGTTATTGTTGTCGTCGTCATTGTTGTTATTATTTTAATTATCCCTCTTTAAAAATACATCTGCTTGTGAACCATCAGTGCAGTTCATGTCTGGGGCAGTCTGATGTAAGTGGAGTCCAACATCAGTATATGCAGTTTGCAAATTTCTTCCCCTTAAAGCAAATATTTCCCTCGAAGTAGAACCTGACAATGTTTTTATCTCTTTCCCCATAGTATTTGAAGAGAATTTATTCACCTTGTTTCCTTGTCTTGCATAAATGCTTCAAATATAGGCATGAAACCAGCTTGTGTGTGATGGACCATGTCCTGGCTTCATTCTTGAAGACGTATAGAAAGATACATTATCTTCAAATCTTTAAGTAATCATGTCATGAAAAGGGTATCAGAGCGGAATCATCACCTGTCTCCCCTTCCTTTTTCATCATCATTGCCTGTATTAGTTAACAGCTTGAACTGTCATACAATCCCATGTGTTGTAGCAATGGAATTTTTGTCTGACAGGTCCACACACCGCCTACATTTGACAAGATGGAGTCATCGGTGAGAGTGGTGGAAACGGAGACTGCTTCAGTGACCTGTAAAGCTAGTGGGAAACCTCCACCAACCTTTTCATGGATCAGATTACCTACTCAGGAAGATTTAGCAACTGCTGACCGTTTCTCTGTGGACAAATACACAGGAACCCTTACAATCAGGGATGTTTCCAAGGATGATGATGGAGATTATAAGTGTGTTGCTACAAATGCTGCAAATAGTGTTGAGCATGTAGTGAGGATCAGTGTTACTCTGAAGCCTCGTATTGTGGCATATAAGAATATCTCCATCGCCACTGATAAAGAGGCAAGACTTTCTTGTAGTGCCTCTGGCAGACCTATGCCCAAAGTTACCTTCAGGTACAGATGATATGTTTAATTACAATAACAACAGATAAATCATGTATGAGGAACAGTATTAAATTACTTTCTGTCAAAACTTTCTTGTGTGTGTACTGTTTGGTTTCATCTTTATTTAAGCATCAGAATAGCTTAGTCAGAGCACAGTCTAGCTGGTGGAGTGTTACATTTTTTTCAATAATTGTATAGTTACTTCCAAGTTAAAATGTGGCCACCCATCATGTGGTATCAGGAAATTTAAGAACCTATATTCCCAGACATTAAAGTTTAACATGGCAGAGTTTTGGATACCAGTTACTGACTACTGTATGTTCTCTTATATTTTCTCAGTACTGTGCTGTGAAATAAAATATTGTGTGCAATATTTGACTAAAAGGTCCCATCAACTGTTGTTGTTCTCTCCAAAGACTGGGTATCGCCTCATTTATGGCCCTTTATATTCTGTTTACTGTTTACTTTCAGAAAGTTGACATCACCTGATAGGTTTGTAATTGGAGTTCAGAGGGATGAACGCATTGTTGTGGAGAATACTCAAAATACTGAGAGAGGTGAAACAGTTGGTACCCTTATAATTTCAAACATCTTACGTACTGATGATGGCCTATATGAATGTATAGCAACAAATGAGGTAAGTTGTTTTGTTATATTTGACTGTAATTTGGAGAAACATGTGTGAATGATGTATGTTCTTGCTGTTACTGAATGTAACTGAAGAAAACTGATTATTACTATACCATTTGCTTCATGCAGAAGTCTTATTATCTGATTGTTCTCAGGGAGGTGAGGCATTCAGGAATGTTCATTTGACAGTAGAGTTTATGCCTTCTTTTGCAAACACACCAATGCAAGAAGCATGGAGTTGGGATAATAACCCTGTTAACATCACATGTCTGGCAGAATCAATACCTAATGCAACTATCAGTTGGCGTATGAACACTGTTGAGATTAATGAGAAAAACAATGATATTAACATCCGGAAATTTGGTGAAGGGCCTCTGAGCTCACTGCAGGTAAGTCAAATAAATATAAATACACTTGGTCGTCGACTTACGACCGACTTCCGTTCTGACTGACAGGTCATAAGTCGATCTGGTTGTATGTTGACCATATATTTGTTAACAGTATTTTTTAACCTCTCTAATCTTTTTATCATCTTTATAATTTATTTTTAAAAAAATTACATTTTAATCATCTTTTATTTTTATTTTTTTGTGGTCATAAGTGCGGCCGGTCTTAAGTCACATAGGTTGTAAGTGGATAACCAAGTGTACTATTATTGTAATATTCTTAAGGAAATATGATATGTAGTTTTGAATTGGATTAATCTAGCTCAATACAGGATCCGAGGATGTTCCATGAAAGGTGGATAATTTCTTGACTAACTGAGAGACTACCAGCTTCTCAAGCACTCTGCTTCGTGGAGTTTATTATGATTGTAAGTGATATTTTCAGCAGATGGAAGTTGGAAATATTTTAGATAAATTATATGCTACTATTGTAAGATACGGCTGAAATATATGTTCTCCATTTTCTATCCATCCCTGTACATTAAATGTTATTTTGTTAATTATTATAGAAATCAGCTTTATGAAGGTTTTAAGGATAACAGGATCATAAAGTGACAACCAGTGCTGGAGTACACGTAATTTTCACATATGTTGTATTCATCATGGCAATTTGAATTCCTGTTCAAATGCATGCACATTTTGTGAAGCTCTAATTTGTTTCTGTGGTTGCTTTTGTATCTGTCAATTCCATGCTTACTATCATTGCCATGATTTCTATAATAATTATGGTTTATATGAAGGTTACTATGTTCTGTTATGCAACGGCATGTAGTCTAATAGATATTTACTGGTTTTTCGGGGGAACATCAGTAATTATTTACCACAGTCATGCTGTCACATGCTAGGGGAGGGTAACATTCATAGTTACTGCTGTGAAACTCTCAAATCTCACATGGGTAATGTAGTCATGTGATTACTGAATTTATGTGTTCACCATGTTGCTGTTACTTATTTAGGAAATAAAAGAGCACGTATTTGGGCTGGCCTCTAGTGGCATAATATTCACAGAATTTGTTTCCAAAATCTGTACAGTGGTTTTCAAAATAAAACTTGCAGACTTAGGGCTAAACAGACAGACAAATATGACAGTCTCGTGGTGTTTTCATTTCTTGCATGTAGAGCAAAGAACTTATAGTAAGTCATATAAGCCAAGTTTCCATGGTACAGTAACCTGATGAATTTACTACTATAAGAATTCTGAATTTGGCAGAACTGTAATTTATCCTGTTAAATATCAGACACATGTGGCAGCCTCATGCTTGATAGTAAAAGAGCATCAAGCCGAATGTCATATAATATCAGCATTTCTGTATAAAGGTAATGCTTTAAAACTCTGAAGATTAAACATATACAGGCAAGCGAGAAGTTTCTAAATATTTTCTTTGCTATTTTGCGTCTCTCATTAGTCTTAATATGCATTTATTACAAATACAAATCTGTTGACAGAGATAATCAGCAGTAAAAGTAAGTAAAGTAAAGCTATCCCTGTAACAGGCTGTGAAGGCCCATAGGGTTGTGAGACGTTAAGGGTCCCACATTATCTAGACCATTGGGTCAAAGATGACGATAAGGTTGTCACCCTTATGCACCGGCCGCGCTTTCATTCATTCATCAGTAATCTGTCAGATGACAGGTCCACAGTCTCTTCCAAAACAGTTCCTCCACTTAATGCGATCTAGAGCTTTCTCCTTCAAATGAGAATATCCTCTTCTGTCCCCAAGGTCATCCAGCATCTTCTTACGTCTTCTTCCTCTGTTTTTGGAGAGAGTCTATCCAGGAATAGTGATAATGTGGTAGTTTTTCCATTTGCTTTCCACATCGCAGTACAACAGCCATTCAAACCACTCTGATTACGCCTGTTGCTATACGAACTTGAACCATCTCGAGCATCATTTGCTCAGTGCTTCAAGTTGCTGTTGATGACGCTGCTTCTGGCATCAGTTTTTGGTTTTCGGTGTCTCTCTTCGTCTGATGCCTACTCTTTGACCTGTCCAGCAAGGGAGGCCCCGCCAGTAGCTACGCTACCGCTGGTATAGCTCTCAGGGTCCTTGGCATACTCAAACCCCCTCACCACGATAAGGTGGAGACACCAACAAGTAAAATTATGTAATTAATTCCTGTACTCATTTCTGTTAGAGGCTGAGTCAACCCCAGGACTATAGTGTGGCTGGGAGAGTTAGGTCAATTGAAAAAAATCCAGTTACCTCATTGGGACTTGAACCTGTGACCTTCCAGCTTGTAGTGTAGCCCCTCAACCAAATACGCTATCATGTGCCCCAATAATCAGCAGTAAAGATGTTAACTTGCAGAGAGTTGTAAATTTCATTGCATGTTTTACTAATTGGGTGTAAAAACACTGTAATAGATGCATACATTTTTTATTCCTTCTTTTCCATCTAATATCGTTTTCTTTTTGTACGAGTTCTTGGACATAAAGTCTGCAGTCTCTTTTTTCCACATTCCTTTCTTTTTAATTGCTTTCCAGCCCTTACCCTTCTTCATGATGTTTGCCAATACCTGGCTGAACATTTTGTTATGGATTGTCCCATAGGTCTCTTTTTATTATTTGTATGTCCTGTTGGTTGAGTGTCCGCCATGAAAAAGTTGCAAATGGAAGTTACACGCATTAAGATGAGATATATATGGCCATTTATTCATGTGCCAGTTGTCGGTACTGTTAATCTAACCATGCATTGTTTGCTTTCATGTTGCCCTAGAAGTACTTTTTATTTAAGAAAAAATTCAATATGTAATTACTTTATCTAGTAGGTTACAGGCAGCAAGTTACATTATTTGAGTGACTTGAGAGATGAGACACATGGAACAATTATCACAACCTCTACATTACACATTAATTTTGTGCTCTTGGTATATAGAATTTGTTAAAACAGTACAAGGTCTGATCATTATGAAGTAATTTCATATTTCAGATAACACCAATTGGCCAGAAATATTATGCTCGCTACACTTGTAGGGCAGTAAATCAGCATGGATCATCTGAACATGTGATTGTCCTGAAGGAGGCTAAACGTCCTTCACATATCTTACAAGCAAAGCTAGAAGTGATTACTGGTAAGTAGTAGCTCCCTGTGGTTACCAGCACAGTAATACAGTTATGTGTATTCAGTGTGATGCGATTCATTCCTAGTACTGAAAATGTAACACAAGATATTTGGTTATCTAAAACGTTCCTTCACTCAGGAATAAGGGATTCCAGCTATATACATATACATATATATATATACATACATACATATATATATATATATATATATATATATATATACATGTGTCCCAGGGGGCATGGA